AAGTCAGGCTTACCGGCCTGTGATTGCTGGGATCATCTCTGGAGCCCTTTTTAAAAATTGGCATCACATTAGCTATCCTCCAGTCATTTGGTACAGAAGCTGATTTAAATCATAGGTTACAAACTTCAGTTAGTAGTTCTGCAATTTCACATTTGAGTTCCTTCAGAACTCTTGGGTGAATACCATCTGCTCCTGGTGACTTATTACTATTTAGTTTATCAATTTGTTCCAAAACCTCCTCTAATGACACCTCAATCTGGGACAGTTCCTCAGATTTGTCACCTAAAAAGAATGGCTTAGGTTTGGGAATCTCCCTCACATCCTCAACCGTGAAGACCGATGCAAAGAATTAATTTAGTTTCTCCGCAACGGCCATATCATTCTTGAGTGCTCCTTTAGCATCTCGATCATCCAGTGGCCACACTGGTTGTTTAGCAGGCTTCCTGCTTCTGATGTAATTAAAAATTTTGGCTAGCTGTTCTTCAAATTCTTTTTTGGCCTTCCTAACTATATTTTTACACTTCCTTTGCCAGAGTTGATGCTCCTTTCTATTTTCCTCACTAGGATTTAACTTCCACTTTTTAAAGGATGCCTTTGTGTCTCTCACTGCTTCTTTTACTTTGTTGTTAGCCACGATGGCTCTTTTTTGGGTTCTCTTGCTTGGTTTGTTAATTTGGGGATACATTTAAATTGAGCCTCTATTATGGTGTCTTTAAAAAGTTTCCATGCAGCTTGCAGGGATTTCACTTTTGGCACTGAACCTTTTAATTTCTGTTTAACTAACTTCCTCATTTTTGTGTAGTCCCCCTTTCTGAAATTAAATGCTAAAGTGTTGGGCTGCTGTGGTGTTTTCCCCACCACAGGGATGTTAAATTTAATTATATTATAGTCATTATTACCAGGTGGTCCAGCTATATTCACCTCTTGAACCAGATCCCGTGCTCCACTTAGGACTAAATCCAGAACTGCCTCTCCTCTGGTGGGTTCCAGGACCAGCTGCTCCAAGAAGCAGTCATTTAAGGCGTCAAGAAACTTCATCTCTGCATCCCTTTCTGAGGTGATATGTACCCAGTCAATATGGAGATAATTGAAATCCCCTGTTATTGAGTTTTTTTATTTTAATAGCCTCTCTAATATCACTGAGCATTTCAGGTGGTCAGTGATATATCCCTACTGCTATATCCTTATTCTTAGAGCATGGAATTACTATCCATAGAGATTCTATGGTATAGTTTGGTTCATTTAAGATTTTTTACTTCATTTGATTCTACACTTTCTTTCATGGGAATCAATGATCTGTGTTCACTGAAGGTAGGACAAGAAGTAACAGGCTCAATCTTGGCAAAGGAGATTTAGGTGAGATAGTAGGAAACACTTTCTAACTAGGAGGCTAGTTCAGCTCTGGAACAGGTTATCTAGGAATGCTGTGGGGTCCCCATCTCTAGAAGGTTTTGAGAACAGGCTGGACAAACCCCACTCGGGGTTGGGCTAGGGTTACTTAGCCCTGCCTCGGTGCCAGCGCTGGACTAGATGACCTCTCGAGGTCCCATCCAGCCCCATGTCTTGTGGTACTTGTGGCTGACTGGCCCCAGCTCCAGTGGGGGCATGGACTGCGCCCGTCCGTGGGGTCGAGAGGGGCACCCTTCTGGATCAGTGGGTGCTGGCACTGCTGGTACAAATGCTCAGGGTTTGTAGTGCTGGGGTGAAGGCAGGGCCGGGGTTATGAGGGATCTCGGTGAATGGGGCAAGAGACAGAGCAGATGGATTCAGATTCTCGGCTGTTCAGGCCAGAAGCACCCACTCTGTGACCATCCAATCCAATCTCCCACCCAGTCCCGATGGAGAATCTCACCCAGTGTCTCCTGCTGACTGCACTGGGGCAGCCCACCCCCAGAGCTGCAGCCCCCAGTAGTTTCTACCCCAATCTCAGTCACTCTCCCACCTAACCCTAACCCTCTCTCCCCAGTAATCCCCTCCCCGCACCCCCCCCACTTTCTCCAACACCCCCCAGACTACTCTGCTCCCCACCCCCACCAACCCCCAACCCAGACCCCATCCCTCTCCTTTCAGAATCCCTGCTCCCCCTGCCATCACCACCCTGCCCTCACCAAAATTCCTGCCCCATCTCCCAGATCACCCCATAACCCCCTCTTTTGTCCCACAACCTGACTCTTGCCACCCCCCAAATCCCTTCCCCCTCCTACCACCAATCCCCCCAAACCCAGATCCCTCCTCCTCTGCATAACCCTGTAACCCCCCTCCACAGCATAACCTGCATGCTGCACCCCCTGCTCTCCACACAATCCCTCCTGGCCTGACCCAGAGCCACCCCTTCTCTCTCAGGATCACAACTCCCCGCTTAGCCCCTCTTCCACCATCATCAAGCCCTCAAATGCCCCACCACATCACCACCCCCTCCACAGCCACCTGCTCTCCTGAACTCACCTCCTACCCCCAGATCCTCCCTGTCCCCGACAACCTCTCCCTCAACCCCTGCTCCTCTCCATAATCTCCATCCACCACATAACCTGCCTCTATATTCCACCCACCGAGCCTTCTCCCCCCCTTCCCAGATCATCCAATTACCCAACAGTAATTAACAACTGGGACAATTTATCAAGGGTCGTGGTGGATTCAAACAGATCAGCTCTAAGATTATTGTGGGGCAGGTCCCTGGCCTGTGCCAAGGGGTCGGACTAAATTATCACACTGGCCTTTCCAGCCCTAAACACTGTGAAAGCCAGACCTACCCCCCACTTCCCAGAGACCCCCCCGACCTCCTGCTCTCCAACTTCCCCCCCACCTCCCAGTGACCCCACCTCCTTCCAGTTCCCTAACCTCCCCCCCACCTCCCAGAGACCCCCACCTCCTTCCTGCCCCCCAACCTACCCCCCACCTCCCAGTGACCCCCACCTCCTTCCAACTCCCTAACCTCCCCCCCACCTCCTGTAACCTCCAGAGACCCCCACCTCCTTCCGGCCCCCCCGAGACCCCCGACCTCCTGTAACCTCCCCCCAGGTCCTTCCTGCTCCCCGGTCACTGACCGGCGACCCCGCTCCGTCCCCCGCGGACCAGCATCGCGTGCGTCGCCATCTTCCAACCTGACCGGAAGTGACGCACATGCGGCGGGCGCCAGAGCCAATGAATGAAGCGGGAGACAGCCGCTTCCGCCAGCGAGTCGCGAGCACACCCGAAATGTGGCGCAGCCGCTCTAGCACCTCGTAAGAACTCTATGGTGTACCGGGAGCCGCTCTATCTACGACCAGGGGGAGACGCTATTGGACCGGAGGCGCTTCTCTAGCCCCCGGCTAAAGGGAGACTCTATGGCGCTCCTGGAGCCGCTCTACCCTCCGCCAGGCGTCACTAAGCACGGGAGCAGGGACTCTATGGCACGGGGAGGCGCTCTGCCCACTGACGGTCTATGTTGAGCCTCGCTAGCCAGTTGGGGACTCTATGGTTGCCGGGGGCTGTGACCCCCAGCACGGCTCGGGCAGAGCCGCTCTAGCTCCCTGCGGGGACTCTATGGCAAAGGAGAAGGCTTCCCCTCCAGATTCGAGGATGGAAAGGGGGCAACTCTACCCCCAAGTTAGACTCTATGGCCCTGGAGGACTGAGGGCCACTCAACTGTGGGGGTCCCAGGTGCTGACAGACCCTGGGCCTGAACCCACCCGGGGGGGGGTCGCTCCCCTCGGCCCTGGACCGGCTCCAGGTCGTCCCCGTCGCTCGGTGCCCAGCACGGACCCACGGCGCCCGGCTGAGCGGCAGAATTACAGCTCGTGTCTGGCTGACAACACTCCTGCTCCTACAGCCCACAAGGACGTTCACCTTTTTTGCTGCAGCAGCAGCAGCGTTACGCTGTCGATTCATATTTAGCTTGTGATCCACTCTGACCCCCAGATCCCTTTCCGCAGGACTCCTTCCTAGGCCGTCATTGCCCATTGTGTGTGTGCAACTGATGGTTCCTTCCTAAGGGGAGAACTTTGCATTTGTCCTTATTGAATTTCATCCTATTCACTTCAGATCATTTCTCCAGTTTGTCCAGATTTGGAGCTTCCCCACAGCCAGGCTGCACGGGATAGGGGAGTGGATGGGTCACCTGGTGCAGCCCCCTCCCCACCAGCCCCTAGGAGGGAGCAGGGCCACTACAACCAGCGAGACTGAGGCTGGGGCTGTCCCCGGCTGAGCTCCCCAGGCAGGGAGCTGGGACGCTCGTGGGGCTGGCTTGCCCAGGCACTAGGAACCAGACACAGCATGAAGCGGAGCAGCACTCTGCGAACGCTGGACAGCCCCAGCTTCCCCTGCTTAGGGCACTAGTGTGTTTCTCGAAGCCCTGGCTGCAGGAGGATCTCAGCTCTTATTTAATACCCAGCACCTAGGTCCAGCTGTGGCAGCAGGGGAGAAAAGCTGAGGCAAAGAAAAAGAACCAACATCATTTTACAGGGTGGGACTCATGATTTTAGACTAGGTTAGGCTGGCAAAGGCGCGGGGGGGTGTGGGGTTCCAGGCCCTACATCTTCGCCTGCGCTGCCTCAGTCAGTCTCACACCATTGTCCCACTTAAGCCCCGCATTGCCCAGGGCAGCCGACATGGAGAAAGCGGCAGCAGTTTAATGTTAAAGCAGACAGATGGATGCAGGTGGCTCAGACGAGTATGGTCACAAAGTCACCTTTATTAACCCTGCCCCCTGTGGACCCTCCACCCAAAGGCAGGCTGGTGGAGTGTTAGTGTCAGGGGAGCCGGCGGGCCCTGCTTGGCCCAGCCCCTTCCCACCCATTGTGGGGGGAAGGGAGAACGGAGGATGGACACCAAGCTGGAGCTGGCTCCCCCAGCTTGAGCCCAAATCCCTCCTGAGTGTTAGTAACTGTCAGTAACAGGCTGTCTCCTGTGGTGGGAGCCAGAGCTGGAGCCACGCCATGACTCCCTCCCCCATAGGCCTCGCTCTGGGGGGGGGGGGGGGGGGGGGCAGCGGCGGGCGGTTGGGGGGGGGTGCAGGGGGGGGGCACCATCCCTGAGCTGGGGGGGGAGGGGGCAGAGAGGGGCTGGGACCCATTTCCCCAGGCTGACAGCCCCAATCCCCCACAGGTGCCTGGGGAGGGGGGGTTAGTAGAGGATGGCCACTCAGAGCCTGGCCCGGGGAATGGGCAGTGTCCAAGGCCCCCCTAGTGGGAAGGGGAAGGGGTTGGAGTCTGTGCCCGCACAGGGGGAGGGCCCCTTGCTGTCCCAGCCTCTCAGGGCTCCTTGAGATCTGCTACATCCTTCAGCCGCGTCCCGTCCACAATGCTGCGCACCTGCTCCAGCGAGGGGGCCTGGCGGATCCGCTCCAGCTGCACCTGAGGGACAAGAGGGGAGTGAGAGAGACGCCTCCCGAGATCCTGGGCCACGGAGACACCCCCCTCCACCCCCCACAGGGCACAGCTCCCCCATGACAGACGGCACCTGCTCCAAGACACCCCCCAGCCGGTACCTGCAGAGTCTGCGAGAGGCGGACAAAGTCTCTCTGCACCTGCTCACTGGTGTCCAGCTCCGCCTGCAACCGCTGCAGCTTCCCCCGCTGCTCGGACAGCGCTGCCTCCAGCCTGGCCTAGGGGAGAGACTGTCACAGCCCAGAGACCAGGCTCGGTCCCCCCCCTCCCCTCCGCACCCCCCCCCCTCCAGCCCAGCCTGGAGGACAGTGTCACAGCCCAGAGACCAGGCCCCCCACATCTCCCCATTCCTCTGCACACACACACCCCCACTCCAGCCCAGCCTGGGGGAGTGTGTCACAGCCCTGGGACCAGCCCTCCCACCTCTCCCCATTCCTCTGCACCCCCTCCCTCCCCATCCCGGCCTGGGAGAGACTGTCACATCCCTGGGACCAGCCCCCTCCCCTGACTCCTCTGCACCCCCTCTCCCCAATTCTGTGCCCCCTCCAGCCCAGCCTGGGGAAAGAGAGACCATGAGAGCCCTGGGACTAGCCCCAGCTGGGGACCATGGTTGGGGTCCCTGCCTTACATGCCCCACCGGGGTGGGGTGGTTGCAGGGCACTCAGGGGAGGTGTAGGGTGGAAGGAGGAACGTGGGAAATATTGTAATACTTTTCTGAACCGGGGTGGGGCTCAGTTTACACCCCCCCTTTGTCCGGGGGGTGGAAGGATTCATCCCCCCAGGTGCACTGGTGGAGGGATTAAGGTGTCATTCGACTCCCCTTCGATCTCACACCGGCAGCCACCCCGACACAAGCGGGGTTCCTGGCCTATTGGGTCAGGGCAGTCACAGGCGGCTGGACCGCGCCAGCCCAGCGAGCCCCCGGCCTGGGGAAGCGCTGCGGAGCAGGGGGCTGGAAGGCAGGGCAGGGGCCACGTGCCCATCGAGAACTGAATGGGAAGGTCCCAGGCTTGGCTGGGAGGGGAAAGGCAAGAGCCAGCCGCTGGGGCTCTCCGTGGGCGGGCGCAGAGCCAGAGGCTAAGCTGGCTCCCAGGCGAGATGCCCAGACTGTCCCGGCAGGTACACGTGGCTATGGCGCTCCCCAAGGGGCCAGTCTCTCCAGGAGGAGCTGGAATCCAGGACAGACGAGGGGCGCCCACAACAGCACTGCCTAACAGCCAGTGCCCTGAACCCCCGGAGATCCGTGCGGGGCACCAGGGGCGTCTGTGTGGGGAGCCCACCCTGGGGCAGGGGGGTGGTGCTGTGCAGGGGAGGGGCTGGCTCGGCTCACTCACCTTCTCCTGTTCCCAGGCCTGGCCCTGCTGGTCGCGCTGGGTCAGGTCCCTCTGGAGCCGCTGCATGTCCTGCTCCAGCGCCTGCGCCCGCTGCTCTGCCTTCGGGGGAGAAGGGAAAACCAGTATGACCCCACCGTCCCCTCTGCCCCCCCGAGGCATGTCCTGCCTGTGGGAAGAGTTCAGCATAGACATCCCCACCAGACACACTCCCTGGGGGGCACAGAACAGGCCCCTCCCCATTCCCGAGGACCCCCCTGCTTCCCCATAAAACCAGCCCCCTCACCTGTCCCAGCTGCTGCTGTAGCCGCTCCATCTCCGACCGGACGCTGCACAGGGAGGCTGGGGAGAGACAGACGGGGCAGGGGGTGAGTCACTGTGAGGGGCGGGGGTGAGCGACAGACACACCCACCCCGCTCCCCTAGTCCCCACTTACCCTCCATGAGCTCTGCGGGCAGGAGCGATGGAGCCACAGCCAGGGGGGGAAAAGAGAGACAATGTTACAGCGAGGGGGGGTGCTTTACTTGCCATGACATTCCCAGCCCCCCACCAGCCCCTTTCCCCTCCCCCCCATCGTCCCCACGCCCCCAGCCGCCCCCTTACGGCTCTCCTCGCGCTGGGCCCCCAGCTGGGCCTCCAGAACCCCCTGCAGCCGGGCCCGGGCAGCCTCCTCCTCGTCCAGCCGCTCACGCAGTGTGACGATCTCAATGCGCAGCCGCTCGCTATGGTGCTCGCTGGCTCGGCGCAGGGTCCCGGCCTCTTCCTGCAGCCGGCGCACCAG